TGTTGGAGAGGTTGCAGAGAAAGGGGAACCCTCCTACACTGTTGGTGGGAATGCAAGCTGGTGCAGCCACTCTGGAAAACAGTGTGGAGGTTCCTGAAACAGTTGAAAATAGAGCTACCATACGATCCAGCAATTGCACTACTGGGTAGTTACCACAAAGATAGGGATCTTTGTGTATCCCTATGTGTATCTAAATGTAGGGATCCGAAGGGGTGTGTGCACCCCAATGTCTATAGCAGCAATGTCCACAATAGCCAAACCATGGAAAGAGCCAAGATGTCCATCGACAGATGAATGGATAAAGAAGATGTGGTATATATACACAATGGGATATTATGCAGCCATCAAAAGGAATGAGATCTTGCCATTTGCAATGACGTGGATGGAAATGGAGGGTGTTATGCTGAGTGAAATAAGTCAATCAGAGAAAGGCATGTATCATATGACCTCACTGATACGAGGAATTCTTAATCTCAGGAAACAAACTGAGGGTTGCTGGAGTGGTGGGGGGTGGGAGGGATGGGGTGGCTGGGTGATAGACATTGGGGAGGGTATGTGCTATGGTGAGCGCTGTGAATTGTGCAAGACTGTTGAATCACAAATCTGTACTTCCGAAACAAATAATGCAATATATGCTAAGAAAAAAAAAAAAAGAAGAAGATAGCAGGAGGGGAAGAACGAAGGGGAGTAAATCAGAGGCGGAGACGAACCATGAGAGATGATGGACTCTGAAAAACAAACTGAGGGTTCTAGAGGGGAGGGGGGTGGGGGGATGAGTTAGCCTGGTGATGGGTATTAAAGAGGGCACGTTGTGCGTGGAGCACTGGGTGTTATGCACAAACAATGAATCATGGAACACTACATCAAAAACTAATGATGTAATGTATGGTGATTAACATAACAATAAAAAATTTAAAGAGATTTCATTTGTGTAAAATTTTGTTTGTGTATATTCATTAAAAAAAGTAATTGGAATACCCCCTGCAGGCCTTCCGCAGGTGACCAAAATTAAAAAATCCTAATTTCAGGGCCCCTTAACTGACTGTGGCTCAGTCAGTTAAGCGTCTGCCTTCAGCTCAGGTCATGATTCCAGGGTCCTGGAATCGAGTCCCCCATTGTTTTAATGGGCTAATAAAATTTTTGTCTGTTACTATATGTTGACACAGTTCCAAGCAGGGAGGCTGCTTCTCCCTCTGCCTCTCTCTCTCTGTCTCTCATGAAGAAATGAATAAAATCTTTTAAAAAAATTGACTAATTTCAGTCCCAGTTTTGGAGGGATTTGTCCCTAAGTCATTGATGTTAAGAACACTATTTGGGCTTTCATTCCTAGACACTTGAGTCCACTGTGCATTTCACTTCATTTGTTATCTTAGATTGTTCTAAATGTTTTGGTTTTAATATTTTTTTCTTCCTAGTTGGAAATCTACATTTCTGAAGGAACCCACTCAACAGAGGAAGACAGTAAGTCAATCTTGACCCATTAAAAAGCAACTTCAGATAGTACTTCATCTTGGATACTGTTATTCTGCTATCCAAGTATCTACGGGTCATTTGCAAAAAAGTGAAGAATTAGTTATTAGCTCTTCTTTGAGGTGGGGAACGTACACTTTTCAAGAAAGTAATTTTTCAGTAGGACTCTAGGTGAGCAGGCCCTGTGAATATTGGCTGATTTAGGCTAGTAGCTGCACATCTCTAAAGAATATCCAGCTCTAGGAACCTTGACTTATAAACTCTAAAGAGGGCTCGATTTTTTTTCTTTGGTGCAGGATAGAGAGCTGTGTACTTGAAATTGAAATTGAAGGTCTAGAAAAGAATAAGGACATTTCTCTTTTAAACTCTTACTTTGAGAGTGCTTTTAGCAAATTATAGACAGAAGATATGGGCCAATACCTTTATTATATGAAGATCCATGCAAGCTCATTAAAAAATAAAACACCCAGTAGATTAACAGAGACGGACAGAAAATTCACAGAAGAACTAATAGATAAACATGGAGAAATGTCCTCTCACTATTTATCAAGGAATTGCAAATTATAGCAATAATGAGCCGTTTTTCACCTGCTGTTTTATGTGTGTGTATGTTTGTTTTTCTTAATAATATGAGATATTTTTTGAAAACTGATAGCTCATGTATTGTTGCTGACAATACAATTAGTAAAAAATGTTGGGAAATAATTCAGTGATAAGAATCAAACCATAAAAATACTCATACCCCTTGATCTAATAATGCCAGTTTTAAGAATCTTTCCAAAAAGAAGGCTGTATATATAAAGGTGCTCTGTGTAGGATAGTGTTCATAATTAATTTAGAAGGCTTATAATTTTTGCTATTTTAAATAACCCTGTAGTTTAAAAAATAGGCTTACGGGGAAAAAATAGCAATTTTCAAAATTGTATTTACTCTTTAGTCTATATGGAAATAATGTATATGGATGAAGACTAGAAAGAAAGAAATGAAAATAGTTGTGATAGAGTAGTAGGAATTTAGGGGGTATTTTTCTCTGTAAGTCTCCCTTGTAGAACTTATAAAAAGTGAGCCAGCTTTAAGTTATCAAGGAGTTAAATTCTGTTTTAATGGGCTAATGAAATTTTTGTCTGTCACTATATGTTGACACAGTTCCTCAGCTAACTTTTGTCTGTGTTTTGCAGTCAACAAGCAGATAAATGACAAAGAGCGAGTGGCAGCTGCAATGGAAAACCCCAACTTACGGGAAATTGTGGAACAGTGTGTTCTTGAGCCTGACTAATAGTTTTAAGAGCCACTTAACTTTAATTGTTTGATATTTTTGTTTAAATTCTTCGTAAAATGTAAAAGACATGTTTAATACATAGGTATTTGTACCTCAAGGCGTTTTTTTAACAGACGATTTGCAAGCAAGATTTAATTATAAGTAGTACCTAGTTTGTTCAGTGTATAACATTCTCAGGATTTGTAACACTTAAGTGATTGGACAGAAAAATATTTTCTAGTGATTATGTGTCAGATGAGTTGCCATTTTTCTGGTGCCTCTTCTGATAACAACTACTTTTCATGTCAAATATTTACTGTGCCCAAGTGTATTCAATTTAAATCATTGTAGAATAAATAAAGCAGAGATGATTCTGGTAATGATGTACCTTAGAATGTTTTTGTTGAATTATAAATCTTAGTGTAAATGCCAACTCTAAAAGATATTTACAAAGCTTTATTTTCTGATTATTATGTAGAATCAGAAATCTGAGAACCAGAAAGAACCCTTAAAATCAGGAGTAGGCCCTGCCTTCAAGGATAGTCTTGGACCCATTTGTAGATGAGGATCAAATGTGGAGTGGGCCAGATAACATACGTAATTTTGAAGATCAAGAAGTCCCCAGAGAAGTTTTGATTAAACCAATCTAAATTTATGGTTTATTCTTTACTTGAACTTTGTTCAGTTTATTTTAGGGGATAATGATCATTTGAAATGTAACAGGGTGTGGAAGGTGGCCTCCCAGATGTTTCCCAGTGATCCTTGATTCCTGGTCTTCATGCCTCTATATATTTCCTTCTATATTGAATCAAAGCTGGTAGGTGTGGCTAATCAAGAATCGGAGGTGACAGTGTGTGACTTCTGAGGCTAGATCATAACAGGTGTTGTTACATTCATCTTGATTTCTTGAATTTCTCACTCTGTGGGAATCCAGCTACCGCATCTTGAGAACACACGAGCAACCCTGTGGAGAATTCCACAAGGAGAGGAATTGTGGCCTTGCACCAACAGTCAGCACCAATTTGCAAACCATGTGAGTGAACCATGTTAGAAGTGATCCTCCAGCCTCAGTCAAGCTGATATCTTGACTGGAACTTCACGAGACCCTGAGCCAGAACTGTCTAGCTAAGCCGCCCACATTCCTGACCCAGAGAAGCTGTGAGCAATAATAAATGTTTATTGTTTATACTACTAAGTTTTGGGGTAATTTTTTATATAGCAATAAGTAACTAATATAATAGGTTATTAGAATGGAGCTCTTCTGCCTGAAATTTAATAGAGGATACAAAGGGAAAAATAGGAGAACTTGTTCCATGGCTCTTGAACCCTTTTATCTACTTTGAGAATATATGTTTTGAAAGAACAGGATTTTATAAGAAGATTAATGAAGAGATTTTTTTTTGGATAAAGCTGTTGCTGTGTTGAGTTCCAGCCCCCATTTGGTGGAAGGGTAGGAAAGGGACACCTTCTACCATTATCTGCTGAGGGGAATTCCAAGGGGACAACTCAGACGGTTTAGAAATGTGTTCCCTGCAGTTGGGCGATCCAGTAAACCGGTGCTTGGCTCAGGTCTGAGGAAGAAGGTGGAAGAGGACCGAAGGCTGGGCCAAAGGCAGGCTGATTCCTGCCTAGGAAGTCTAGAGGGCAAGAGAGGCAAGGCCAATGACTCTGATGACAGAGCCCTCAGGGCATGGTATGCATGACTATTTCTCATGGACTGTGCTGTGGGGTCGTATTTGACATTGTCCAGTAGGCCATCAGCAGAGCCAAGGAGACCTCCACAGAAAGGGTCTGAACATGTCCTGCCTGGTGCCCCAGAAGTGAGGAGAGAGGACAGCAAGGGCGGGGGGATGCATTTGTCAGGGTCAAGGTGTACAGCAGGAACCTCTGGTAAGCTCATGAAAGTACCAACCCAAGAGGGAGCCAGCCCTAATCACCAGGTAGGCCCACAAAGCACAAAGCCAACCAGCTAAGTAAGAACCATCCTATCTCGAGTATTTCTCCCTCGTCAGCCTCCAAAGCAGTGGTAGACTAACTAGCAAGCAGGGGGGCTGGAGAAGAGGAAAGGACTGCATCGCATTGCTCTGCTGTAGGTTTTAAGCCTGAAGCAGGACCCAAATTAGCCAAAGAGTTAATGCCAAGTTTGTAGTTTTGACTATGAGGTGTGACTAGATTCTTTAATGCAGTGAGATTTTATGATTAAAAGTGATGGGAAGACTTTGTCTGACAGAAATTGTCTGCCCAAATCTTCACCGTTGGGCAGAGGAAGATTATACCTCTCAACAAAGTATCAAAGGATAGTGAGGGACAAAAATAGAATGAGTTCTTCTATAACATACTTGTTCTAGAAGTCTTGTGGAAACCGTCTTGGCTTCTGCTAAGTCTGCACTGTCTTCAGCCCAGCTTTTGTCCCACATTCTCCCTCTTCGAAGAAAGGTGCTGTCCGGAAAATCAGACGTCGTGGCACTGGAGCACTAGCTTTGGGGAAATGTCACTACTGATTCCCGATCTTTTGCTATGAAAGTTCTCATTGGCTCCTCTCTTTTTTCCAGGTCATTAGAAATCTGTCACCCAGCCTATGTAAGTAGATCCACAAGTAATGAAGTATTGCTGATTTTTAGTCGTCACTGTAATCACTTCCTTCAAATGACAAATCCACCAGAGTTGGGCCTTAGCACCAACATCCAGTTGCTTGCTTCATGGCAGTCTGCAATGGAGGGCCAGGGCCAGAACTAAGCGTACCTAGTGTGTACCCTGTTTCATGTTCTCCCAGCCAGCGCACACGTGCGCATACATGTGCTTTTTGACTGGCTCTCTGCTTCTAAAAGATAGGGCAGGTATCATCAGAGGGGCTCTGAGACTAATAGCCCAGGGTCAAATTCACATCAGTCCTCAAGTTCTGACCGTTTCTCATCACTAGAGCCTTGATGGTCTGGGAAACCCAGGAAGCCATAGCTAGGATTTAAGGAGGGCTGTCTTTATAGTCCCTTCTTAAGAGACCCTGATACATGAAATGCTCATTGCCAGTTTCAGGTGGCTGGAATCTAATGAAGTCTGAGATCCCTAGTGTATGCTCTCATCAACAGATATTTTAGTGAGCACTCTTGAGTAGCCAGCACTATCAGGTGACAAGGATGCAAAGACAGATTGGCCCCTCTCTGTCCCCTCGGAGCGCATACTTAACCAACCTCTGCCTTCAGCCCCTCTGCTGCAGGCCATGAATGATGCTGGCCATCTCTTCTAGTGCCTGAGCTTGGCTTGGCCAGGGAGGCACAGAGGCTAGACAGCTAGAAGCAAAGACAAAACCATTCCTTAGGGACTGTCGAGTGAGGAGACCAGCTAGAAATGGGTCATTGCTGCAGGCACTCCCAAAATGCTAGTCCTGCTGCCCTTGGAAGTTAGATGTGACTGCTGTGTCTGCTACGGCCAGAATGATCTCTCCTCTCCCTGCTGTTTTGTGTGACTCACTCCAGCTTCAGAGCCCTAGATGGGGTCTCTAATCCCAAGGGCCGCATCTATGCCCTGAGTGCCAGGGAGGCGGGAGAAAGGAGAGGTTGGCCTTCTGTATGGGACACCACCTCTCTCTCAGCAAGACTCACATGGTGGGAACTCCCCTGATTCGTGAAGAGGGTTCCAATGACTAATGTCCACTACATTAATAATATACTTAGATGAATTTGTACTTAATCATGACAGCATCTATACACACAAGTGAAAAGGAGAGGCACGTATATTTATAAGAGGTATTATCTAGTCCCATCTCCTGCTGGATCAGCAAATTTTTTTCGGAAAAGGTCCAGATAGTACATTTTCCAGCTTTGTGTCTCTGTTGCAGCTATTCAGCTCTGCTCTTCTTGCACAGAGGCAGCCATGACACGATGTAAATGAGTGAGTGTGGTTGCGTTTCAGTAAGACTTTTTTTATGGGCACAAATCTGAATGTCACTTAATTTTATATGTCATGAAATATTATTCTTTGGATTTTTTCCAACCATTTGAAAATAGAAAAACTATTCTCAAAAGCCAAAACCAAAACCAAAAAAAAAAACCCAAAAAACCCCAACAACTGTTCTTGGCTTGAGGGTTGTATGAAAGCAAGTATCAGGAAGAATTTGGCCTGTGGGCCATTTGCCGGCCCCTGATCTGTAGGAATGATTCATAACCTTTTTGGAGGGTCTCCGACCTCTTTGGGAATCTGATGAAAGGTAGGGAATGGATCCTTTTCCTTTTCTGAAAGGAAAAAAGGCACTCACATGATACTTTGCATGTGACTTCAGGACGTCATGGATTTGCTAAGGAGTCAGTGGAGGCCAGGTTTATAACTCTCGTCTGCAAATAATGCTGCCCGCGCGTTTGGGCTTCCTGTTCTTTCAATAACTCCTCATAGCCCTGGGCTTCACAGCTTTGGTTGGAAGCCACTACCTTTTTAAATCATAACATATACTCAAGACGCTTTCTCAGCTCTACCACGAAGCAACGGCTTTGTACCCAAACTGCAGATGTCTCCAGCAGGATGCAATTAGCTGTAATTGGGGGAGGACTATATTTTAGGAAAGAGTAGGATTGCTATAAAAGCCGCATTGCATTGATAGCCCAGTTGGTGCCCCTTGTGTGTTAATACAGTGGCAGAAAACAAGCCATTGAACTAACGGTTGAAACACATCACTGATGCATTACTACTGAAGACACTATTTTTTTTAAAGCTGCTGGTGGGTCCTGAATATTTGTTATGTTATTCCTTATATATTTTTTGTATATATGAAATATTTTACAACTAATTTTTTTAAACCCCCTGGATTTAGCCTGGCCCATAGATTGTCCCTGACTCAGGTTAGACTGCCTGTCTGGCAGAGGCGGACTCAGTCCCTGCGTGAACTTATTTGGGCCAGATGTGCTAGGGGAAGGGGTAGCAGTTGTTGTATGGGCTGTGAGGTTCTCTTTGAGTACTATTATTATCACACAGACCTTTGCCCGTCACAAAGGAGGTGGTTCAGAGCACAGACCCAGGTGCCAACATGCCACCTTGCTCTAATCCTGGTCTTAGCCCCTTGGGTAGCTGTGTGACCTTGGGCAAGTTACCTAACCTCCCTGTACCTTAGTTCCCTCATCTGTAAAGTGAGGTATTTGATAGCGCTGCTAAGAGGATTAAGAGGGAGTGCTGAACACAATGCCCGGAACATAGTAAATGCTTTATTTTAGTGTATGTTAAGTAAAAATAGAGGGGAGGGCCCCTTGGTGCTAAGTTACTTGGGTGCAAGTTTTCCTCGCCAGCTGGGTGCAATCACCTGGGGAGCACTAGGTGGCAGCAAAGCATGACTCCTTAGTGTCAGCTTTCAGCTTTCCAGCTGGTCAGCCAGGAGCAAGACAGCCCTGCCTGCTGAGCGTCACCTGCGGAGGGACCTGCGGAGGGACCCCCTTCCCCACCCAGGGCACCCTTGTCACCCCTCTAACCCGGCTGCGCTAAATGCCATACCACACTGGGCACTTTGCCTTTGTTCTGACAGGGGTGATTATCATGGAAGACTTTCTTAGATGTGGAATTACTTTGCCAGAGGTTATGAATAATTTTGAGGCTTTTGATATATATTGCTGAATTGCCCTCTGAAGAAATCGTACTGATTGACATCCTACCAAGAATGGGGGTTTGTGTCTCGGCCCCACACTAATCCTGGGTAATTTTACTTTATTTATTTTTGGGGAGGGTATTGTTAGTTAAAAAAGATCTTTGCCCAAGGTGGAAGATTTTAAAATGCTACCTTTTTTTTCATTCACATTATTTGCTAAGATTAAATATTGGAAAATATTTTTTTTTTAAAGATTTTATTTATTTATTTGAGAGAGAGAGAATGAGAGATAGAGAGCACGAGAGGGAGGAGGGTCAGAGGGAGAAGCAGACTCCTCGCCGAGCAGGGAGCCCGATGCGGGACTCGATCCCGGGACGCCAGGATCATGACCTGAGCTGAAGGCAGTCGCTTAACCAACTGAGCCACCCAGGCGCCCCTATTGGAAAATATTTCTATTGGGATTTTTTTAAATCCCCTGTTTATATCCTTTGCCCATTTTTCTATTGACATGTTCACTTTTAATTTATTTTTATTTTTAAAAATTTTATTTATTTGAGAGAGAGAGAGCAGGAGCAGGAAGGGGGGCAGAGGGAGAAGGAGACTCCCCACTGACCAGGG